ACATATGTATATATATATATATATATATATATATATACATACATACATATATGTGTGTATATATATATGTATGTATATATACACACATGCATGTGTGTGCTATGTGTGTTGTGTGTTATACTCTTACCTGCTGTGAGAAGACGGTAAATGTGCACAGTCTTTTTCTGTCCATCTCTCCAGACTCGAGCCATGGCCTAGAGACAGTCGCAGTAAAAAAAAAAAAGTTATCATAAATGACATGGAAGGAGTGCCATCTGGTGGATATGAATGTGAAAACACAAGGATGCTCAGTTTACACGAACAACAAGTAGTTTTTAGTCTGGGGGAAAAAAAAGATTCAATGCTCCATTATTATCAAACTTCGATCAGCAACCCTTGGGATGCATGCACACCAAGTCTAGAAATCTTACACTTATTAAACAGGTAAATTATCTGAAAGGGAGCTCACCAGCCAGGACTTGGTGGTTGAGGCTTGGCTCCTGAGGCTTGGTCAGGCCAAGCCCCACAAAAAATGACAGGAAGCCACCGCCTTGTGGGCCCACCATCTGTGGGGAGGTCTGTCAAGGTCGGGCGCTATGTATGCAGGGCGGCAGGCAAGGGAGGGTCCCTGACCATACCGATTTCCTGGTGGTATAGATTAGCTCTAGGGATGTGGAATGTTACCTCACTGGCAGGTAAGGAGTCAGAGCATGTGTGTGAGGTTGAGTGGTATCAACTAGATATATTTGGGCTTACCTCTACGCACAGCTTGGGCTCTGGAACCCAACTCATGGAGTGTGTGGGGTTATTTACAAGCCCCCGGCTGAATGCCGTTGTTTTGGAGTGTTGGGAGTTTTCCCTGGTGAGTGAGAGGGTTGCTTATCTGTGGCTTTGGGCTGCAGGAAGGAAGGTTCTGTCTGTTGTTTACGCTAATGCACCAAACATCAGTTCAGATTACTGGGCCTTTTAGGAGTCTCTGGAAGGTGTCCTGGATGGAGTATCATTTGGGGATTCTCTCATTCTACTGGGTGTCTTCAATGCCCAAGTGGACAACAACAGAATCATTTCGAAGGTGGTGATTAGGAGGCACAGCCTCCCTGATCTGAACCGGAATAGTATTAATCTATTGGACTTCTGTACAAGACATGGATTGTGCATAACGAACACCATGTTTGAGCACAGAGTGGTTCATAAGTGTACTTTGTACCAGGCCACCTTAGGCCGAAGTTCGATGATAGATTATGCAATTGTCGGACTTGCGGACCTATGTCTTGAACACTCGGGTGAAGAAATGGGCAGAGCTGTCAACTGATTACCATCTGGAGGTGAGTTGAATACGGTGACGAGGGAAGCTGCTGGACAGATCTGTTAAACCCAAATGCAGCGTGAGGGTGAATTTGGAATGTCTGGTTCATGCAACCTTCAACTCACACCTCTGGGAAAGATTTTCACATGTTCCGTGTGAGGTCGGGGACATGGAATCTGAATGGGCCATGTTCAGGACCTCTATTGCAGATGTGGCTTCCAGGAGCTGTGGCCTAAAGGTCATTGGTGCATGTTGCGGCAGCAACCACAGGATCCACTGGTGGACACCAGCAGTGATAGAGGCTGTCAAGCTGAAGGGGGAGGCCTCCGGGACTTGGTTGTCCTGGTGGACTCCTAAAGCAGCTGACTGGTACAAGTGGCCAGAAGGACTGTGGCTTTGGGGGTTGATGATGCAAAAACTCGGGCATGGGAGGAATTTGGGGTGGCCAGGGAGAAGGATTTTTGAATGGCTTTGAAGAGGTTCTGACAAATTGTTATGCAACTCAGAAAATGAAAGAGGGCCCTACACCAAGCTGTGCTTGGATTGGGGGAAACTGTTGAACCGGACTGAGGATACTGTTGAGCAGTGGAAGGAGCATTTTGAGGATCTCCTAAATCCACCCACAGTGTCCACCTTTGAGGAGGCAGAGTCTGAGGACTTGGAGGAAAATGAGTTCATTACCAGAGACCACTGAGCTAACCAAATAGCTCCTGGAAGGTGGAATGTCACCTCTGGGTTGGGGGGGAGACTTTGTATCTGGGCATCTTGTTCATGAGTGATGGTAGGATGGAGGGGAAGATGGATCCAGATTAGGACCTCGTCCTCAGAAATGAGGGCATTGCTTCAATCAGTCGTGGTGAAGAAAGAGCTAAGTCGAAAGTAAAAGCTCTCAATTTACTTGTCTATCTAACCAGCACCTTTGGTCATGAGGTTTGGATCATGACCAACAGAACGAGACCCAGGATACAAGCAGCCAAAATGGGCTTTCTTCACAGAGTGGTGGAGCTCAGCCTTAGAGAGAGGGTGAGGAGCTCCGTTATCCGGAAGAAGCTTGGAAATGAACTGCTGCTTCTCTGCATCCAAGTCAGATGAAGTGGTTCAGGCATCTAAATTAGGATGCCTCCTGGACGCCTCCCTTTAGAGGTTTTCCGGGCTGGTAAGAGGTCACATGGAAGACCCAGAAGTTGCTAGAGGGATTGTGTATCTTCTCTGGCCTGGGAATGCTCCGGGGTCCCCGAGAACGAGAAGGACTATTGACTATGGTGACATTATTTACATGAACGCTCCTGCAAGAACCCTGCAGTTGTTGGATGCTGTCTATCATGGTGCGCTAAGATTCATAACTGGTTGTAACTACCATACCCCCATTGCACCCTGTATTCATTGGTCAACTGGTCGTCATTAACTTGATACAGACTCTCACTCTGGTATATTTTCATTTTTAAATCACTCCTTGGTTTGCTGCCTTCACATATCTCCTCTTACATGTCACGTCATCAGTGCAGCTACAGCGTGCGCTCTCAAGACATCATTATTACATCATTATCTGAAGTGTCCCCTTAGTGTGGACTGAATTTGGCAAAAGGGCCTTCTCCTACTCCGCTCCTTTAACCTGGAACACCTTGCAAAAAGATCTGAAGCTCTCGACCTTGACCTCTCTAAGGGACTTTAAACATCTGTTAAGTTCAATACAAAAATCACTGCAGACATGCTCCTGTTTTTAGTATTTTACGGTTTCATAATGTAGCTGGTTTTTATTTTGTTTTATATCACTACTTTTACTTTTCATTTTATATGCTTTTTATGACTGTTTATTGTTGTGTGTACCTCAACTGTATTTTTTTTTTGTTTAAAACAGGTCTCTTGTAAATGAGTCCTCGTGACTCACTGAGACTAACCTGTATAAATAAAGGTTGAATGAAAAAGGAAACCGTCGCTGGGGAGAGGCATGTCTGCGTTTCTCTCCTAAACCTGCCTTCACGACCCGACTAAAGATAAGCGGTAGAAGATGGAGTCAGCTGAGGTGAGCAGGATCTTTATATTTAGATGTAATGTTTTTTTATTCCAGATGACAAATGTAAAATCAGTTTTCAGAAACCAAAACAGAACTAGTTTGAATATTTTTGTCGTTTAACAAGAAGATGTGGGCTGGAAGGAGAAATGGATGAAAAAAGTTGACAGTTGACATTTTCCCGAGTGTGTAAGAGAGCATCACCTGAATGTCATTTGCAGGGTTCCAGTCGATGTCGTACAACACCAGATGAGAAGCTCCGATCAGGTTAAGTCCCACGCCGCCTGCTTTGGAGCTCAGCAGAAACAGAAAGTTCTGAGAATAAGGACTGTTGAAAGAGTCGACCAGACGCTGTCGCTGGCTAGTGGGGGTGTGTCCATCTAATCGGCAGAAGGTGTAGCTCATGTGTACGCACAGGTCCTGAAGCAGGTCGAGTGTCTGAGTGTAGTTTGACACCAGGACCACCCTTCAGGGGCGCAAAAAAAGTGAAGACTTTCAGAAAATAAACAAAACTGCATTTATGCCGATGCAGACTTCTGACAGCCACACAACACACACCTGTCTGAAGGGCTGAGCTGCCTGATGGAGCTCAGCAGGTCTGAAAGAACCATCAGTTTTCCAGAGTCAGCACTGTTGAATCCTGCTGAAGAATAGGATTCTGGGAAAAGATCTGCAAGGCCCTCGTATAAAGAGCTTTCCAGAGACCCGCGGTCTGTTCTCTCCTGCAAACAATAACACAAGATTAGACCAAACTTAAAAACATGCACATTAACGCAAGGTTTGATGTTAAATTAAAAAAGCCTACATAATGCAGCTACTAGATATAGCCTAATAATAATCTTTACTGAGATGCAAGTGTTTCTGTAAACATCACCTTGAGAGTGACGTGGAGCAAACCAGGATGGTTGCAGAGTTTCTTCAGGGCAGTGATACAGGCCAGGTGTGTGTTGGTTTGACTGTAGCCCTGGAGACAGGCTCTAAAGACACGGTGGCTGAGGAGGTGTTTGTACAGCTGATGCTGCAGAGGGGACAGCTCGCAGAACAAGGTCCAGTCAAGACGGGGAGGCAGGTAGCGGTTGATGATCTCCTGTGTCCTCCTCAGGATGAACATGCTGGTGAGACGGGAGAGTTCAGCTGCTCGTTCTTCTCCCAAAACTCTCTCCTCCTTTAGGCAGAGGCAAACATGAAAGACAAAATGTATGCGAATGATTAGAAGGTGACTACAAGGGAACAAGAATGAAAAACTGGATAGCGTTACCTCTGTGGACGATGGCTGCCTGGACCTCAGAATTGGTTCCTCATATACTTTTCTATACGCAGTTGAGGAGCCAAGAATTCCCGGGTTAACAAACTCTATAATAGCGTAGAACTCCTGCAGGTCGTTTTGCACTGGTGTCCCTTAAAATAAGAAACAAAACTTATTGATGTCAGTCGTTTCCTTCAGAAAGTCCTGGAAATATTTTCTGTTTTGGTCAACCACAGGCAGGCGTGTACCTGAGAGTATGACTCTGCGACTACAGCTGAGGCTGCTGAGGGCAGAAGATGTTTTAATGCTGCTGTTCTTTAATCTGTGGCCCTCATCGCAAATTATGAGACCAAACTCCACTTTCTGTATCTGAAAATAAAAACAAAACATGTTTGTTCTATGTCGTATAAGCTTCGCCCTTTAAGGCCTTCGCTTTAGTGGGTTTATCCCGTTATGCAGAGCATAAGCACTGAAAAAAAAATTAGTCCACGCCCACCTGCTGTGTGGGCCCCACCCGGTCCGTATAAATTACGTTAAGAGCGGGAAATCGGCTCCCATTTTTTCTTCAGCGAGCTAATATAGCACTGTCAGAAGAACAAAGAAGATAAATTGTGTAAATGACCAACCTTTGCGAAAGATGCTTGGCCCGGCAGTCGACCTCCGGTCGTCCGGTGAGTTCTCCTCCCCGAGGAGAAGATGACAGCAGTCTTATTCCAAGGTAAGCGTCGTGGAACATTTCCCAGTGACAGGTCACTACACGCTGGACAACGCCATCTTGTGTTTTTCCTCTTATCGCCGACCCTCGGGGCGAACCGGATGGTTCCTCCGGGGCAAGGTGTGCTCAGCTGCAGCCCCGCTGCTCTTTCCCTCCTGGGGAGCGTAGTGTAGGTGGAGGGGGGCTGAGTGAATGCTCACCCCATCCCACCTCGTTTCGCATCGGCGATCACACCGCTCCCGGCCGACGGCGCCCTCAGGGGTTGCCCGGCGGAACCCAGGAGGAGGCTGACATGAAGGGACCCCTTTTTTTTCTACGTCCCTCGCCTTTTCCCGCCAGTTCGGATGATCGGCGGAAAGGTTATTTTTCACTGGGCTCCACTCTGGCTCACCGTCTTGATCCATACGGCCTCGCGTTCCAACAGGACGTTCCACGGGCGAGGCCGCAGACGGTTCTTTCCTGGTAGATTAGAGGAGTCGGTCCCCAGTCCGCTCCCATCACCAGAGTTGAGGGATTCACCGAGCGGGGCTATTCCTCGGTAACCCCCCCCTGGAGCCAAGCCTCGCGGAAGCTTCCGGAGCGAAGCTGCCCAGGTCGGAGCAGCGTCCCGTCCCTCCGGAGGAACCAGACGGCGACCACGCTCTCCAATCGAGCCCACCGACGTGTTTTCAGGCAGCCGCAGTTAGCAACAACGTGCGCTGCTAGCATATAGCATGTCCAAGGGACTGAAGGCCGCAGACCTGCCTTGGAGACGAAGAACTCCCTCTGTAAGGCAGCTGACGCTATTCCTCGGTACCCCCCCCTGGAGCCAAGCCTCGCGGAAGCTTCCGGAGCGAAGCTGCCCAGGTCGGAGCAGCGTCCCGTCCCTCCGGAGGAACACAGACGGCGACCACGCTCTCCAATCGAGCCCACCGATGTGTTTTTTCAGGCAGCCGCAGCTAGCAACAACGTGCGCTGCTAGCATATAGCATGTCCAAGGGATTGAAGGCTGCAGACCTGCCTTGGAGACGAAGATCTCCCTCTGTAAAGCAGCTGACGCCAGCTCAACATGTGTGCCTCTCCCACGGTTTGCCTTGTCGGGGACTGCAGCGCGGAGGACGATGACCCAACGATCCACCTGGCTTCGTTACTCCCCTCGCTGCCGGAGAATCTGCACAAGACCTGATGAAGCCCATCGCGGACGCGCTGTTCAGAGCAGCTTCAAACCATGCTGGCGAAGTGAAACAGTCGGAGGAGGTGCCAAAAGCTGTTCGCCACCTCATCAAGCCGCGCGGCCCACCCCGTCCCCGCTGGAGGGACCGTCGCGAGCAAGTTTTCGACTTTTCCACGGCCGCGGCTCTCGCTGAGTTCCACCACCAGCCCCGCCCGTCAGAATCCAGCCCTCTGCACTCCGGCAGCCTGCAGCTCAGCGTTTCCCCAGAGTTCGCCTGCAAGACAGCGCTCTGGGCAAACAATCGCAGAGCTCATGAGAGAGAAAGCTCTCAAATGACGGTCTCCGGAGGGTGTGTGTAAAAGTGACACGAAAGTTGAAATAAATCATCATTAATGATCCAAGTGTCTGTTTTTTAGCCAGTCTGTAAGCCCGGATCAGCTCACAGTGGCCGCACACATAAGAGCGCACTCGTGGGATGAAACAGCCCCACACACGAGCCGGTGTCCTTAAATAAAGGTTTTTAACTCACCGTCGCTCTAAGACATGACGAGTCGATCACAGAACAGCCTCCACACATGAGCCGGTGTCCTTAATTAAAGGTTTTTAACTCACCGTCGCTCTAGACATGACTAGTCGATCACAGGACAGCCTCCACACATGAGCCGGCGTCCTTAATTAAAGGTTTTTAAACTCACCGTCGCTCTAGACATGACGAGTCGATCACAGAACAGCCTCCACATGAGCCGGTGTCCTTAAATAAAGGTTTTTTAAACTCACCGTCGCTCTAGACATGACGGGTCGATCACGGCACAACGGTAAGCGAAAATAACTCATTACCAACTAGAACTGCATGATCCTCACTCAAGCGGTGTCAACTCGCATTTGTGGGATGGAACAGCCTCCACATGAGCCGG